GCAACAGGCTAAAGCTGATGGAAGTAAATTGTATCCTTATGGGAAGCTTTATCATCTACAATGGTTTGGGGGTGCTGTGTTACCTCTTAGCACCTGGCACACTAAAGCTAGGACCATTTCTCCCTGGCCTGGGCAGAAGGCCCAGCTCCTGAATGTGGAGCACCATCTTCACAGAGGCTTTGGTAGGGAGCCTCATGTTTTGACCCTAAACTGTGCAGACAATTGCCCATAGCCCCAATGCAGGAAGAAGAATTCTGAGACAAAGGGTATCTGACTGGAATTCCATGAATCTTTCAAATTCTCAGATTCATGCATTTCCCATACGGGCAGCCTCCTGAGCAAACTGTCAGGTCAAGCTGTGTCTGGGACCTTGAATATTGTTCCTCTCTGAGCCTCAATTTCCATAAGGACAAAGTAGGTAGGTTGAGCTTGAACATCTCTGAGGTCCTTTCCACTTGAGAAATGCTTCTGGTCTTAATTTTCACGTAGAAAATAAAATCCCAGCCAACCACAATCACTGTAGATTTAGCTGAGGCCGCAGCTTAATGCATCAGATTGGAAGAGTAACTTTAACGTGTCTACAGATCCTTGCAGTTGGGTTAAAATTTTAAAAAAAAAATCAGTTTAACCCTGAAGACTGGAATATGGCTCAAGTCCCACGAAGCGAAGCTGCTATTTTTTAAAAATTCCAACCATACCTTGTAATTTCAGACTTCTTTTTTCTATCTAAGAGAAAATAACACAAGCTTGAAAAGCAGTAAATATGTAAAGAGAAAATTTGTCAACTGATATTGGAAGATGTGACCTAAGTCACACATAAATCTCTCCGACAAGAGCTGCAGGGCAAGTCGTCATTTCAGAGGGGAAATGAAGGCCTGGCTGGTGTCTTCCCTCAGCTCCACAGTGCATCCACTCTGGTTTTCTGATTATGCCTCTGAATATGATATGAAAGACCTGCTAGCAAGGTCTGATTTGCCATTGTGTGCAGAGAGGGGAGCAGAAAAAGAAACTCCCAAAATTGTTTCTTAGCGCCAGCACCATTACAAGTACTGAGGCCCCACCAGTGAGCCTGTGCATCAACAACTCCATTCCCCGGGTCCTTTCCAAAGTCCTGAGTCCTGTTATGGGGCTTTCTAATTGCCACCTGTGTGCTTCTTGCAAAGAAAGATACAGTAAATAAATGGTAATGCAGTCAGTAAAGCCTGGCTGGTACTTGTGGCTGCCTCCTAATAAGTCGTCCTTCCTGTTTGTTGTATGAGGATCTGCCTTCCATCAGAAGGAGGCCTAACTCTCCGACTAGTGGGGCTTTAAAACTTGGATCTGACGAGTGACAAAAGAAAAAAAAAATCCCAGGAGAGGAAGGAAGTTCATCTCATAAATGAATCAAAACACCACTAATTCCGGAGCATGATGAGCCAGGTGTGTTTGTCTGGAGCAGTTACAAACCACTCGACACCAGCAATATGTACACGCAGGAGTGTGGGCTCCGGCAAGCTGGTTGTGAAGAGCATCTGAGATGTTGTCGGGCACAAGCTGTACATCAGCGCTAACTGAACGGTGCTCCTCTGAGCTCTGCTCCTCTGAGCTCTGCTCTCACAGTCAGGCTCTCACAGAAAGGCAGACCCGGAATAAAGATCGCGTCCGTGCGGCTAGCGTTTTACACTGAGTCGGTGCCACTTTTAATGTGCTATAAAACAAGGGGGTGCAATTTTACATGAACTGTGCACAGAAGCAGAGGCGGTGGCTGGAGGTTGACTTGGTTCAGATCTGTTTTATAGTCACTGTGCCAGACAGTAATGTGATCTTGAAAAAGGTAAACAACAAAGAGTTTAGCAGTGAAAAATATGCCTAATATAAATACGGTCGTACGCGTGGCAGCTTAGAACTTGAAAAATATGACCGTGGCATTAAATTTTTCTAGTGGAATTAACAGAGGAACAGAACATAGCCTTTAAGGCAATATATCTGAGACAAGGCAAGGAGATAATACATCTAACTCCATGGTCTGTGTGGCACTCCTATAAAGAAAGGCACGGTAGCTTTATTTAATTGAGAAAATGAATCAATTATGATGATGTTGCATCATCACATCAGACCCTTGTGAAATGGAAGACATAAGTCACTGCATTGTGTAACAGTGTTCAGAAGTAATTGAGTACCATAAGCATTTTGAATCAATTTCAGGTTCTGGCTCTGCTACCTTAATACAAAATGCATGAAGTTGACATCCTGTAGTATGCTGCTATCAAGACTGTAATAAAACCCTGGCACAGCATCTCTGAGATCCTGGGCAAAACTGGATTGTCATATCATAAAAACAGAGGGATGACACTGGTGGTCATCCCTCTCTCATAGCAGCCTTAATATAGGACAGTTTTAATTACATTTATTTATTTGTGTATGGGCACATGTGTGCCACAGTGTGCTTGTGAGGGTCAGAAGAAAAGTTGCCAGAGGGTTTTTTTCCGTCCACCATGAGGGTTATGAGACTTCAACTCAGGTCATCAGGCTTGTTGGCAAGCGCCTCATTGGCCCAGTCATTGTAGTGCAATCTTAAATTGTCTTTAAGGAATTCTTACCTGCAAGATAGAGCAAGATAAAGCCATGGAGCCCTGCAAGATTCAGGGTCATGAGGAAATCCTCCCCCTCTGTCCATCTGGTTCACACTCATGTTCCTGAAGGCAAATGCCACAAGCCAACTCTAACCTCACTTCAAGGCATCTCATAGAATTTTTGCCACATCTTCCTCAGAGAATCTTGTAATCTCCCAACTCTTGGAAATCTATGAGAAAAGATGCTCTTTGATGCCAAAAATAGATTTCGAACGCTTTGTGAGCTGCTGTAGAAGTGGATATATCTTTTTTTAACACTGAGCACAGGGCTACCTGTGTGTGCTTAGAAGAAACAAAAGAAAAGCAGACACAATAGGAGGAGGGACCTGATCGCAGAGAGTTTACTAAATTTCTCAGCTGTCTAAGGGGTGAGCAGCTCAACCTCCCCATAGAGACTGAATCTCTGCCTGCTGTCCTTGCCTGGAGTCCAAGATGGGACAGTACTGTGGGCAATGTCAGGCAGGCACTGGGAGGGAACACTGAGAACCAACCAGTCTGGCACTGCTTCCCAGTGTGACGACTGGAAGGTGGCAGCCTGAACAGGAAGCTTGGCCAGTCGAGCTAGAGCATGGGAAATGCTTTCTAAGATGCCTGTAACCGCAGTAGAAGGTGAGCAGTGAGTTTAGGCCAGCCTGGGCTCCATAGGCCAGGACTTGGGGTCGGGGAGGAGGGGCTGCTGATCAGCCACACTGATGCAAACAGAAACCATACACCTAGCACTCTCAAAAACCCAATCATTAGGCTAGTGACATTAATTTAAGTTTCCATACCATGCAAGTAAAAGCATGAAGTCCAATTATTTGAGTTTGTTGTTGTTGTTTTGTTTTGTTTTTGTTTTTGTTTGGAATGCTGTGATCATAGGCAGGTATTCTACAGGTGAGGGAACATTGGAAAGGGCTTGGCACTGCCAGACCTGGGCCTGGGACCTGAGCTGCCCTATTTCTGGGGGGCCTGGTTTCACCAGCATAGAATAGAGATTGTCTTCCCTGCATTCTGTAGAGTTAGTTGTGCTGGTCAATTAAGTATGTGCAGGAAAGACTTCTCAGGTATCATAAAGGGTCTGAAGAGATAGCGGTAAAGCGGGTAAAGTGCTTGCTGCACAAGCATGAGGATCTGAGTTCAAATCCCAGCACCCATGTAAAAGCCATGTGCTGTGGCCTGCACCTATAATCTTAGTGCTGGTAAGGCAGAGACTAATGCCTCCCAGGGTCTGGCTGGGCAACCAGTTTAACAGACATGGGGAGCTCCAGGTCCAGTAAGAGATCAGCCTCAGAAAACAGGGTGGAGAGCAGTAGAAGAATGCACCCAGCATCAGCTCTGGCCTCCACAGCATGCACACATGTGTACATGTGTATGCATACAGCGTGCACACAGTCCCACTGAAACCCATAAAAGGTCCTGGAATGCAGCTCAGTGGCAGAATACCTGCTCACCGTGTCTGAGGCCTCCAGTTTGATTCCCAGCACTACAAGAAAGCATGGGATATTACTCTTTCCCATCTAACCAGCTGATTGGATCTCATGTATCCCAGTAAACAACCGACCTGTTCTGGTCGTATTTAGTTCCTAAAATTTTTCTATTTACAAGATGCAGAACCCAGGACTCAGTGTCCATTGGGTTTGGGCATATTAACTGTAGGGATCTAGGGGGACAGTGATGTGTTTAATGTTTTGTGTAGTAAGTTAAAGTTGATTGATCTTGTCACATTAACTGTCTGTGTTAGATGTGAGCAGCCTGCCCGCAGAACGTGGAGTGGGAACAGGCGCCCTACCAAAGCATTGTAAAACTTCATGCATTTGGTTTTTCCCAGAGAGCCTTGCTGCTCGAGAAGCAGTTCAAAAGAACTTTGAAGAGGGTAGAGTTTTCACCCTACTCCTTAGTTCCAGGCAAACACTTCAACCACATAATTAAAGTTTTCTTCACAAAATAGGGGATTGTGAGCAGACACTGGCAGGAATCCAAAATTCTAATTTCTGACTATGATTTAATTTCAATTTTAAATAAATCGGTTTTTAATTTAAAAAGAGTGAGCTTCATAACATTAGCAATGATTGCAACATTAAGCCCAGTGTTCACAATCTAGCAATATAAAACATTATTTATATCTGAATCGTAAACAGCCTTTTGAAATGGATTATGGTTTTTCTCCCTATTCTAATACAACCTGGAGGGTACTAAAAAGTGTTGTGTGAAATTAACATTCTGCTGACTTTCGCCTATAAATGAGAAGCGAGCTATTAACATTTGTGTATTTTCATTATGTAAATTGTGTTAACACATGCCCACAAATTGCCACCAGCAATGCAATAATTTTCTCTCAGTGATCATAATGTGTCCAAGTGAGTCATTTTGATTATGACATGCTAATTACATATTGCCTTTTTTCAGATTCAGAAAAACCAGGGATCTTTAATGGTAAGCTTTATGAGTTCAGAAAAAAAATTCACTTTTCTTTTTCCTGATGGCTGCTTCCTTTGCATGCTTGAATGCCTTGTTTTAAACTTAGCAAATTGCATTTTGAAGAAAATGCAAACCTTTAACTGCCTGTATTAGATTAGGTACCATTAGAAATAATAGGACGTCCTGAGCATCCATGTTTTTATAAGAGTTTGCTGTTGTTGATTAATCTTGCTATATTTTATTGCATTAATGATTTTTTTCTTTCCACTCCACTGTAAAGATATTGCACACAGGCTAATACTTTTTCCTCTCTTCTCCCCATTGCAGCCTCTCCAGCTTCTGCAGTGCATTGTTGATGAGGTGAGGCATCGTCTTATGTGCTTTCCACTCCTAAAGTCATCCCTAATGGTGTGGAAAGCTTATATTTTGTTTCCTAATGAAGCACAATGCCCAACATCCTCGAAGCAAGTTATGTGGTATGCTCTGAGCTGGGGACACAACTGCCTTGTCCTGAATCCTGCTCTCTCCCCACCCGGGCTGTCCCACAGGCTGGCCCTCGGGGATGTCAGAGGCCCCGAAGACAAAACATGATAATATTAATTGATCCTCTTCCTGGCCAGATGGGGATGGAGCTGGAAATTAAAGTGGTATCACTGCTTCCATAAGAGACATTGAAAGGCATTCCATAGAGAAGGGTCAGAGTTGAGTGAGTAGTGACACAGGCTGGATAAAACACACCTCTCTGCTTTGATCCATCAAAGGAAACCTGGTTAAAATGGGGGAGGAATTTGTTCAAAGCTCTGGTCAATAGTTGAGCTTTAATTACCTCATGAGGCATTTTCTGGAGTACCTGCCCCTAACTTTTTGAGTCTTCTAGTATTCCAGAAAGAAACCTTCTTTCTTCCTAAGTTCTCTTGTTTGAGCATCCTTCCCATGGACATCCTCGGTCCCTCTGCCTCCATGGAGCTCATCCGCCTCACTCAGCTAACTGATTCTACTTCTTTATCTGACTCTCAGCTCCTCTTGATGTCAGCCTTCTTATTGCTCAGCAGGCTCTCAGTTGAGACACAGTAACCTTCTAAGAACCCCTAGCCTCCTAGAAAAGTTTAGTGTTTAACACTTTAATTTTATAATGTTTAGAACATTTGTCAATAGAGAAGAGAGACAATAAGTGGTCCAGATAGGGAAGTTTGAAAGGAAAAAAAAAAACAAACAAACAGTAATTTCATAGCTATTCTTCTCAATTAAACATCTGCATAACCAGTTATGAGATTTGGGAGAAAAAAATAAAGATCCTCCTAGGAAAAGAATAAACACACACACATCACTGCAGCAGTGAGAGGGAGGCTCCCAGATCCTTAATGTCTGCATCCGCCAGTCCACATATCCCCTGCAAGCCATAAACCATGTTGGTGCGAAAATGAAGGCATCATCCTGAAACAAATGGAGACTCCATTATCTCAGATATCAGACAGGCCTCCTGGACCTAATAGCTCATCAATATCTCTGTCATCTTAGTTTCCAAAAGCATCCTGTCCCATCAGAATCCTCCTAATTAAGCCATTTTCCTGAGATCCCCCTCCAGTTTTGCTTGGGGAGGTGCCCAGGGAAACTTGGCCTAGCCAGTCAAATGCGCAGCCTGCACCATTTCCTGGGCTCCACTGCTCTTGGTTTGCCTGGCTCCCAGCATCAAAATTACGTGGGCATCCAGGTACATATCTTCCTCACCAATGATACATGTGTTGCCAGGGAGCTAATTTGAAGATCTTATGGATCAAATAGATGTTTCTATTCCTTATTTAAAGACATGATGGTTGTTATACATTTAAAATATTTTACTTGTTTAATTTGGTAAAATAATGAAACTTGAAAAGATAGCATAACGCTTGCTTTAATTTCATGCCCTTCTCTAAAGCCTGTCTCCCTCAGACAAAAGAAAAACAGAACTTAGTATTCCCGCTTACCCCAAAACCCTGTTAAAATAGCTTCTTTCTAGAAACTTGGGAAGCTGACACTGTCTTCACTAAACCAGGTTGATCTTAAAACTAAGGTGACATTCTACACCAACAGCAGCGAGAGTGAGGCTCTCAGATCTCAAATCAGATAATGTCATTAGGAAGGGACCAGCCAGATGAGCTGCCTTATGCATCAAGGTGTGAGAGAAAGCATGGGTCGTGCTTTGTGTTCACTGTCCCTGTGTGTCAGTTGTCACTGTGTGCTGGGTGTTCCTCGGATAGTGATCCAAAGACTAACTGCGTCAGAATAGCTAAGAAAAGTGCCAGTCTAGGCACATGCCTACATCCCGGCACTCCGGAAGCTGAGCAGTCTGGGCTATTATTGTAGTGAGACCCAGTCTCAAACACAAAAACCAAGCAGAGTCCTGGGCGCAGGTTGTTGGACTTCTTACTGCTCATGCTTCCGATGCACTAGCTCTTGGCTACTGTGCACGCGTGTCCAGTGTAGACAGATTCTGTTCATTTCTGTCCCACAAGGCTGTGAGCTCTCTTCCAAATTCATTTGCTTCTGACTTTCAGAACTTCTGTGAGTGAATATAACCAGTCGGGAATTGATACTTTTACTCCGTGGGTTTGAGGACTTGATGCTAGTGTCTGCTATTTCCTGTTACAGAAAAGTCAGAGACAGTTTGCTGACTAAAATTATGTATTAGTCTTGGAGAGGACCCACGTTCAGTTTAGGTGGCTCATAACTGCCTGTCACTTCAGCTTCAGGGGAGCCCATGCCCCTGGCCTTGGGAACCAGCATTCATGTGCACATCCCCCACACAGACCCCCGGGAATACACATCATTTATACTACCTGCTGAGGGATCGTAATTCAGGCCCGTTCAGAGTCATATCCAACATACCACTAACAAATCCTAGTGTGCCATATTATGTTACTGACTTGAGCTTGACCTTGACAATAGCATAGCAGAGATCAGACAGTGATTAATCAATACCTAGGTGGACAGAAGCGAGTTAGTCTATCGTGACCAGAAGTGAATGTTAGAGCCAGTCTGAGAGTCAAGGATGGACCTGTGGGCAGAGCCAATGTTAGCCATCAGATGAAAAAAAAAACACCAAAACTAAACAGGAGCACAACTATCACAAAGGTAGAACTTGGACCACACATCAGCAACTGGAAGGGTGGCCAAGGCAGACTGAGTACTGAGCTCCCATCAGAAATCTGGGCAATCCAGTCTGCTTCGGGTGGCTTGGGCCCAACTAGCTGAGGCTGTAAATCACAAGAGAACCTCTTAGTACTCCAGGTACCTGACGGCCTCTCATCAGAAATGATGTCTGATGATCTGTACCTGGTGCCCTGAGTACCTGGTACCCTCGGGAATAAAAGGCTCCATTGTCTAGATAATAGAAATCTTAATGCCGCCTCTGCTATCTGTGGGAAATTTGTATTTTTAAAAGAAATATGTATTTTGACAGCCTGCCGACAGTGTAGTGAGTGTCCCTTACCATCTTCCCCAAGACTCCAGCCTGTGTTTGGAATGTGATGCTGAACTCAGCGTGGGTATATCAGTGTCCTCTAGGGCTGGGACAGTCCCGGAGCTGACTGTGTGCTGGCAAAGAATATGATACGTGTTTAGCCTCGACATTCAGTGGTGTTCCCGGGCCTCTCGAAATCAGAGTGCCATGTGCCTCCAGGCTCCACTGTGCCCCTCGATGACGGCTCCTCCGGTGATCTCCCGGGATATTGCCTCTCTTCTCGTGGTCACTGTTCTTGTCCGGGACCTCACTCAGGTGCTGTCCAAGCAGTTCTACATCTATCTTTAGTATTGGCATTACCAGTAGTGATCCTAGCAAAACAAAAATGTATCAAATGAAGTCAGATCCCCAGGCAATACTCATAAAATTCAGCAGCCTTATCTGAAGAGGAAGGCAGAAGCTAAGGCCCCTCTGATATAGTGAAATGGATGGACCTGCATCCAGTTAGCACACAGTCGTCAGTTGCCAGGTACTAGCCTGAGTTACAAACACTCAGGGCAGCCGTAATTTAGAAAGAATGGGCTTCTAGGCAAGGCCACAAGCCTGGACTTCTACCCAAGTCAGTGAGCCAGGGTAGGTCTCCTGGCCAGGGCCAACGCTCACACTTTAATACTAGAGACTCTCCCACCCCCGGTTCCTGGGCTCCCAGCATGGCTGGGACTAAAGGGCTGGCCAGATAGGAGTTGTCACAGGTGAAGATACACCCGATGTCTGCACTGTCATAGCCGAAGCTCTCTCAGGCCAGCTAGTGGAGCTGCCAGTGGATGGAGGGGCTGAGAACTGGGGAGTCTGAAGGGAACCCTGCCCGGAAGTCTGTTGAGCCCACATGGGCCATAGCCTTGGGCAAGACATGTGCACAGAGCAAATAAGAACGGTTCCGGGTAGGGTGACTACTACACAGTCCCGGCTGGGGTGCGTGAGAAGGCACTGCATTTAAACTCAGGCTTAAAGATAAATGGAGTTGCCGAGATTAAAAACAGGAAGAAAACGTAAATGTTGAGCAGAAAGACCTGAAACTACCTTATAAATTATTTTTTGAGATCACAGATGTATTCCAGAATGTTCGTGTTGTCTAAAATATGACAACCAGAAAAATGGGATAGTATTCTAAGCATATACATACATTTCAGGTATATTATAACTAAAAATAAATTCTTGCCTAGCATCTGTGGGTGCTCAAAAGAGCCATTAAACAAATCCCTGATTTATACTTCTGTTTATTCATTTTACGCATAAAAAGTGAATTCATTGAAGTGACATTTTATACCTGCTAAGAAGTAATGGCCATGTGTTGGTCTCTCAGAAGTACGAGTTTGTAAATCTCTCAGTACTTCCTCACAGTCTAGGACTGGGAGTGTGGATAGACAGGTGACCTGGGTTAGGTGCTGAGTGGTTCTGAGAATGCTGACTCTTCTCCCCATTCACATACAAAGAAGGTTCTGGTCTTAGGAGTCTTCTCTATTAAGGCTGCTAAGGAAGGTGATCATGGGAGCAGGGCTTTGATAAAGGACATTGACTATGTTCCAGAAACCTGACAACTGACCAGGGAGCCAAAGAGCCCAGGATGGGTAGGAAGCAGAAGTACTCACAGAAGGGAACCTGAAAAATCACAAATATGTGAAAATAATCCGTTCAGTGCAAAAACCAAAGGGGCCCCTGGAAAACTTCCAGGGCAGCGGCAGAAGCTCAGAGAAGGCAGTGAGCAGGTGCAGAGAGGGCAATCTCAGACCAGTAGGCTCGGGTTCCACCCTGAGAGAGAACAGACTGAACCCAAGTTAGTAGGAAGGAGAAGTAGCAAGGATTATAGCAGAAGTAAATGATACAGAGAAGAAAAACCAACAAAGCCATTGGTTCTTTGGAA